GCCACGGCCGATACCTGACGGTGGCAGCCATGTTCCGTGGCCGTATGTCGATGAAGGAAGTCGATGAGCAGATGCTTAACGTACAGAATAAGAACTCCAGCTACTTTGTTGAGTGGATCCCGAACAATGTGAAGACCGCTGTTTGCGACATCCCACCTCGTGGATTAAAGATGTCCGTCACTTTCGTGGGCAACAGCACCGCAATTCAGGAGCTCTTCAAACGAGTGAGCGAACAGTTCACCGCCATGTTCCGAAGGAAGGCCTTCCTTCACTGGTATACTGGCGAAGGCATGGATGAAATGGAGTTCACTGAAGCCGAGTCCAACATGAATGATCTGGTGAGTGAGTACCAACAATACCAGGACGCGACGGCCGAGGAGGAGGGTGAATTTGAGGAAGAAGAGGAAGGCGAGCAGGGCTAAACTGCTTCGAGGTCGCACGCTGTTCGCTTCTCGTAGCTAAGTGCAGGTTCCTCTCATTCTGCAACGTTAACCTGGGAAACCAGTTGACTGTGCCTGTTCTCCCCCTGCCCCCTGTAAAAGACCGGACCGAATCACTCGATTCTTCTCCGCCTGTGTCCGGCGTTGTAATGCTAACTTCTCAGACCGCTATTTCGCCTCGTCCAGAGATGGCAGAGCGACATCGCGGCCTGTCCTGTCTTCTTGTTGTGCTCTTTTCGCATCCTGTGTCACATAAGCCTTCCACTTCGGAGTCTGTAGAAACTTCTCAATAAACCCTAGCTCCTGGCCTAGCGGCCTTATGTATGCAATCTTCCACCTTATTTATGGAAAAAAATACACAGGACTTGGACATTCGCCTTTTATAAGTCCACTTTTTGTTCTTAACGTTCAGGCACAACCGTAGTCAGTTGGTACTGGCAAAGCAGGTGTAAGACGTTCTACTTAATAATACATAGTAGTAATTATTTCGTCAAATTTGGAAGGGTTCATTTAGGGGATAGAGGGCTGTTTCGACAAAGTACTAGAACCGTTCGACTGTATTCTGCTATCCGCCTTGCTGCGGGAATATGTACGGTCTTGTTTATTTTTCAACCGTCTCTGGGCTGGCTGAGT